TAAATTTTAAAATTTGAAATATCACTAAAACGTCTTTATGTAGAAATAGAAAATCTGAACAGTAAATATTTTTTAAAAATGACCAAAATTATCCAATGATCAGAGAACACTAAGTCATATGATTTTAAAGGCAAATTTTACCAGTCTTCAAGGAATGGCTAATTTGCATATCATATAAAACCTTTTTGAGAACAGAAAAAGAGGCTAATACAATATTGGCAACAAAACTACAAAAGAATAGTAGAAGAAAAATAGTTTATTGAATAAATCTCAAAAGGTAATATAAACACAAAAACTTAAATAATTAGTAAACTAAACAGTATCTTCAATATCAAATAAAAGATGGTTTTCATATAAAATAGAATTTAAGGCAAAAACATTTTTTGAGAAGAATAGGACCTTTATATGCTAGTAGACTTAAAAATGAGGAAACGTAGTAAGTTTATATGTTTAATAAATTGGACCATGAACAAAATGCAAGTAATGATGAGTGTTTCTCTCTATGATAACTTTAACTTAGAAATTATATTCTACCACTTCTTTTATATTTGCATATAAGAATTGATTTAGATAAAAGAACAAAATAAGTTTGAATTACAAAGTCACTATTAAATTGACTCTGTTGTATTCCCCAGAATTATAGGATGCGGTCAGTTAATTTCAGTTGAAGAAGATGAGAAAATGTTAGTAGCTCCCTAGGGAAGACCTAGGGGAACCTTGGTTTTCCACCCCCTTGAGCTCAGCATCTCTGGAAATTAAAAAGTAGAGATTGTTTCCTGCTGAGAGTTTTCCTTCCCTTTCTGCACTCCAGCTCAATCCTACAAAACAGGACTTAACAAGTCCCATTGGGATACCTTACCCTACTTCCTGACTCCTTAACATGTTCCTCGTAGCTTCTATAGGGTTCTGCTACCTGGTTTTACTTTATAAATTGTATTCCTTGTGGTGACTTGATGAAAAAAAAAAGATGCACGGTGAGTCCGGTCAAGTGTGGTCTAAAACTTAGCCATCACCAGTGAGCATGGGGAAAATATGAGTTTCAACTGTCCTCATCTATTCGGCAGGTTAATAGTGTGTGTGGGAGGGAGGATGTTGAAGTTCTTGAAACTGAAATAAATATAAGCCTGTGGTAACTGCGATGTATGAAGGAGCCTGGAAGAATTCTAGTGCGTCTTACATTTAGGATCATGGGCCCCACAGTGAGTGAAGAAATCAGCAACAGCAGCATTTTGTCAAGAACATCCCTCTAGAGAAACGGGAGGTAAGCCCAGCGAGAGCTCCTCTTCCTGGGAGCAGCAGGTGGCGGTGTGACAGATGGGTCTTCGTCTCTCCCCGGACACCGAACACTCAGAAGCCTCTTGAGAGGTGGGTGAGCTGAACAGAGAATAAAATCCTCTCTTCTGAACGAGATTCCTTTGCCTCCGTGGAGAGGTTTTTCTCTTCCAAGAGATAGATCATTGGAAGAAACTAATTTCAACACTAACTTCCAGATGCTGTTTATGTTATTGGGGTGCTTTCACTTCACCCAATTTGTATCAAGTTTGTCATCTCATTTTTATTTTTATTTTTTTTTTATATTTTTATTTATTTCTAGGAGAGAGGGAGAGAGAGAGACAGCATGAGCAGGGGAGGGTCAGAGAGAGAGGGAGTCACAGACTCTGAAACAGGCTCCAGGCTCTGAGCTGGCAGTCAGCACAGAGCCCGATGCGGGGCTCGAACCCACGAACCGCGAGATCATGACCTAAGCGAAAGTCGGACGCCCAACCGACTAAGCCACCCAGGCGCCCCTGTCATCTCATTTTTAGCTGTGGATCTGAGGTAAGTTTATTACCCAGTCTTTGTTTACTACACAATTTCGAACAGGCTGTAATGAACAATCACAATACAAAATACAATTGCTATCATCTGTCAATGCCAAATTTC